GTCTCCATTTCCAAGTGCAAAATCTTCTTTCTTCAGGATTCCTTTTTCTATGTGAAGTTTTTTGCATTTGTCTAAGCCAAACTCCATTTGTATGTCCTTAGTGTATGAATGTGTGATTTGCAGGAGTTGATGAAGTTGTTTTTGTGTGGATGCATGAAGTTTTATGTTGTCCATGTACATGAGATGTGACAGCGTAAGCTGTGTTGTTTTTTCATGTCTGATATTGTAGCCATATTGCATGTTGTTTAACATGTTGGATAGTGGGTTCAGGGCTACGCAGAACCAGAGAGGACTCAAGGAATCTCCTTGAAAAATTCCTCGCTAATGAATATTTCGTTTGTATGTATGGAAGTGTTACTAACCCTGAAATGCAGTGTTGTTCTCCAGTGCTGCATAGTGTTTTGCAAGAATGCAATGAGTGATGGATGTATTTTGTACACGTGTAGAATATGTAGCAGCCAACTGTGTGGAACACTGTTGAATGCTTTTCTGTAATCTATATATGCCTTGTATATGTTTCTGTGTTGTTTGTGTGCTTGCCGTAAAATGACTGAAGCTATGAGTAACTGTTCTTTGCATCCCCTGTGATTTCTACTGCAACCTTTTTGTTGTTCTGTAAGAATGTCGTGTTCTTCAACATGTTTGTATATTTTTTTTGTGATTCAGGATGTCAATAATTTGTAGAGTGTTGGAAGACATGTAATTGGTCTGTATTGTGTGGGGTCAGTAGTGTTGTTGTTTTTAGGTTTCATGTAGGTGATGCCCCGAGTAAGAAATTTTGGCATGTCTTGTGGATTGATGATGATGTGTGTTAGATGTTTAGCTAATTCCTGGTGCAGTGATGTAAACTTTTTGTACAAGAAATTGTGATGTTGTCTACACCAGGTGTCTTCCAGTTGTGTGTTCTGTTAACAGCTGTCGTGTATGTTTATTTCAGCACAGGGCATGCTTGGTATGTTATGCAAGTTTCTGTTCTCCTCCTTGATCCAGCCTGCATCAGCATTGTGTGTAACAGCATTGGACCAAACAGAAGACCAATAAGTTGTGAGTTCTTCTCTTGGTGTGCCACTGTGCAGTGTATCAGTGTTTGTTTTGTTATCAATTGTTTTTCATTGTTTGTGAATAATTTATTTTGTTGTTTTCGTAGTGTACATGTTTTGTATCGTTTGTGTCTACGTTCTTTGGCTGCAAGTTTTTGTTTCGGTGTATTGATGTATTCTGTAATGTGTGTGTTGTGATGTTCGTGTTTTGTGTGTGTTTTGATTTTCTTGAAATGAGTTGTTTCATTAATTTGGGTGTTATGTTGTTTTTAGTGTATTGTGTCAGCCTGCCTAATTGCTGTCTAATGTCTTTTATTTGTGTTTCTATTCTTATCTGCCAGGCAGGCTTGTGATAGAATTGTGTTTTGTGTGTATCTGTCTGCAATTGTATTTTCAGTCCATGGTGTGTCACTACTCTGACTGCCCCAGCATAAACTAATGTATGAATGTCTGAGAGTGTAGAAATTAAATGGATGTAGTGTGGTAGTAAGTGAGTGTTTACATAATTTAGTGTTTTTCCTACTACCTTTGATGTGTTGATTTTCGGTATTTGTTGTCTTTGTGTGGGATCTGTATCTGTATATTTAGTGAGTGTTTCCTGAAATATAAGTGAGAGCGTATTAACTAATTCTATGTCTATGTTATCAGTGATGGATGAGGAAGTGCCTGTAGTATCATTAGTTGTAGTTGTTGTATATGTGCTATTATCAATACTTGTTGCTGGATTATCCTGACAGGTTACATGATCTTCATTAATAATGTTAAATGTTTCTGTCTGTTGATGTATTTGATCAGCAACCTGTTGTTTGATAAGTTCAAGTGTTGTTTGTGGAATAAGGTTGTTGTGTATAATTGTTCTTTTTTGATCAACAACCCTTTGTTCTGTGACAGTGAGGTGAGGATATTGTTGTGTGAATCTATGGTGTAGTTGTTGTCTGTATGCTGTCATGTTTGTTTTGAGTTTTGTGATTGCATAGTAAGTGCAGATGATAAACTTGTTCATTTCTGATGTCCATTTCATCCGTTGGCGTGGTTTTCCAGCCTTTGTGGTCTGTGGATGCATTGCCACAGAAACACCAAGGCTAGGTTTGTTCCTCACATCTGTTGAGGGCATTGCAGTAGCCATACTTGGGCCAGTGCTGCTTTCGCCACTGGTAACCAAGGGAGACTGGAGCCTATTTTTCGAACATGAGCCTCTGCCTAACCCACGAACGCGGACCTTGTTAACTCGGGCAATGTCCGAGCCGGTATCATACTTAGATCTGGTTACTACCATGATAATTATCTCCACATAATGTGGGTGTGTGGTCACTCTTAGCTTCATTTCTTCCCATAGACGTTACTGGCATGGGTGTCCCTACCAGGAGCTTGTGCTCCAGCCTGCATTGCTCTATGATTCAGTAAAAATTACTGGGCTCTCCCACCACGACCAGGTGGTGACCACGGGAGAGTTATTATTATTATTATTATTCATTTTCATCGGGAAAACATTTCAAAGTGTTGTTTCAATTCTATTTATTTATTGGAGTGCTTGTGGATACATGATATTTTTTTGTTTTTCCATCTGGTGCGTACACGAATAAATCAGAAGGTTTTTCGACGCATGAGCAGGTCACATATAGTTGTACGTGTGAGAAGCACGGATTCTTTAAATTTAGCCCACCTACTCGCAGAGATTGTCAGAAGTGCGATATTCCCCATTTTTAGATATATTTTTTAATCCTTTATAATTTTGATTATTTAATTGCTCCTTCCTCTCTTCCTTGGCATGTTGTGAAATTTCTGATAGTTGGATAATAAACCGTTTTATTGTAATTTGTCTTTTTAAATTATTTTGAGTTGATATTAAAATTTGGAAAAGGGGGATCCCTAGATCGGTAAAATAGGCGAATTTCCTTCTACAACTTCGGTTGTTGTTTTTCAGGATACAGTTAAGGTTTTAACAAAGTTCGATCAAATACATAATTAGCAAAAAAAGTTGAAATAATGTGATTAAACAAAAATTATTACAAATATCGTAAATAACAAATGCATATATAGAGATATTTTTTGAAGGGGGGAAATGGTCTTCACAATTTGAAATCAATCGAACACACAGTAAAATGCTCGTATACATGCGCGCCATCTATCGTAGGATAAATGTACTATGCCAGAAACCTTTGCGGGAGTGTATTAAAAAACTTTCCAAAGTTTCATGGCAATCAGATAAACGGTGTGGTAGTGCATGAAGGACAGACACACAGACATACATTCATTTTTATATAATTNAAACCTCCCTGCAAAATTTCAGAAATTTTAGACACAAAGCACAGGAGTTATTAAGTTCCAAACATAATGAACAAAATCAGCTCCCCCCACACACAAACTAACATCCATACATGCAGAAATTATTCCATTATGTTTTTTTTTTGGATTTCTCGAAATTGCTTTATAAAAGATGTAAGAAATTCATAATGAAAAATCTGAATTTAGTTTATAGAATGCTTTTATCTATTTTTATTCTTTTACATCATTGGGTTTACATCAATCTGACAATGCTCATTTATCATGTTTAAAAAGCAGAACAACAGAAGATATAAGGCAACCATATCCTTTAGCAGCTTCTTACACCCATCTATACTATCTGTTGAGGTTGTGATATTAGTTTAATTTATGTCTGATTATTGAATCTCATACAACAGAAAAAAATAGATTAGTTTTGTTGACTTGAAAACAGTTTATGATAAAAATATATTTTTGTAAGTATGGCTAATCCAAAAATTGATTAAAAATATGTTCATGTTACTAAGAAAAAATAAGTCTAATTAAAATTATTGCAAACTTTAAATCAAGGATTTTGGTAATATTTGTGAAACTATTTTGAAAAAGTTTTGATGATATATAAACAATATAAAATAAAAGAAGATTCAAGCCATCAAATATAATTTATTTAAGAAAACATTTTTAATAAGACTTTGATCATCAACAGCTTATAAAATGATTCTTCTTTCATTTTATATTAAAATATAGTACCAACATTTGTGAACTTTTATATTAAAAAAATAATAAATTGATTAGAATAATGTATAAAATGATAAAGTACATTATAATTTAACATACATAAGATAAGTTTATTATAAAAATAAAGTTGAAAATCTAATAATATCAATTAAACTTAGAAATTTTGAATCATTGAATGAGTAAATATAAATGTTTTAAAAGATGTTAATTTGAAATAAAATTTGTACTTTTATTTTAGCAGTTTTTAACTAAGAAAACAACAATAATAATAATAATAATAATAATATTTTTGAGAATCTAACATAATGTTTATCTGAATGTGTTCAATGATGATCTGCTCTTGTTGTTTTTCTTCCTGTCCAATGTATGTTGTTGAAAGAAAGAATATGGTCACCATTCTCCATTTCAACGATGTTTACAATGTAGAACCTCGTGATATAGAGCCTGTGGGTGGAGCAGCCCGATTCTCTACTGCAATGAAGTCTTTCAGTCATTTGGATCCATTGATAATCTTTAGTGGTGATGTACTGTCACCATCTGTTTGTATGTATTTTTATTTGCATTTTATATAATTTGTTGATATTTATTGAAATAGTAAATTGTGATTAATTGCTATAGATTTACTAAATTATATGCATTAAAAACTCATACATACTGCACATATATACATACTGTATTTCCTTGATTAAACCCTAACCTTCAAATAAATCCTGGGGAATAAAAGTGCTGTTAAAAATAAACTCTAGGTTTAAAAACATAGGAAACCTGTTAAAGTACTGCATTGCATAGAATAATATAGTTTAGAGTGATAGATAAGGAATTTAACTAAAATTCTATCACTTCATGTTATCGAGAGTTGGACAGCACTTTCTATTCCAATATTCACAGAAACAATTGAAGCAAAATTATAAATATTGTTGAATGTTGAGTGTGAGAAAGTTGCAATTGAATTCTTAAATTTAGAGTTTATGAGCCAAGGGATAATTGGGAAAACTCTGGTTCAAACTCACCATCTCTTTCCAAAAGAGTGGGTAAAGTTGAACCAGAAGATGGTAGACAAGATCTTGATTCCTTTAATGACATTGAAACAGATACAAATGACAAGATAATAGCTGAATTGAAAGACATTGAATACAGTCAATAAATGGTTTGATAGTTAAGAAAATATATGAGTATTGGTAATTATTATGATGATAATTACGATATTTCTTTCAGTTTTTATCCACTTTTATTTCCTGTTGCAAGATAATATGTACCTTTTAGATGGTGTATAATTGTGGTTCAATATTGAAATATGGCAGTTTTTGTGTGTATTCTGTACAAGGCAAATTTACTGATTAAACATTAAAATGTCTCTAAACAAAATAATTTGTATATAGAGTAGAGAAAATGTTTGATCAAAGGTGATGAAATAGTTCAAGGTAATCTCATAATTTGTTGCAGATTTAAAGAAAAACAAATTCACAATATTATTATTACATCATTGATTATTAAAACAAAATGAAGTAATGAAGTAAATATAAACATTTTGAGAATAGCAGTGATTTTTTTTTTTTAAATATCCTTAGCAAGTTGTAAGCTTGCATTGCTGGTTTGGTTTTTGTGAAACATGTAGTATGGACTCTTATTTATATAAAAATGTGAGTACCGCTTCTTGCTCTGTGCTACAATAGATTAAAATTTATGTACTGTTTTAGTATGGATTTAAAATTTATGTTTTTATTTTGAAACTATGCATCAGTATGCTGTTATGCAGCATACATGGGTTTATTCATATATAAATAATGAGGATATAAAACTTATTAATTTCTCTTCATTGTCAGAACTACCTGAGCTGCACTGATCTGCAGCAGTCATGGAGAAAAATATAAAATAAACCAACAATGAGTTGACCAACTTTCCTGCCAACATTTAAAATTTTGGTAGTGCCATTATCCTATTTTATTAAAAGCTCTTTATATTTTTAACTATTATAAAACAGCAAAAAGCTTAATTTTGAGGGCAGGGATGAGTTTTATAAAAAATTGTAAATGCTAATAATGAGTAAAATTGTCATTAAGTCTGACCCTATCAGAGATACACAACCCCCATTATCTCTCCAACTCCTCGACCTTAAACCAGCAAAATTTAATAACATCAATCCCCTGATAAATAAACCTCCCTGCAAAATTTCAGAAATTTTAGACACAAAGCACAGGAGTTATTAAGTTCCAAACATAATGAACAAAATCAGCTCCCCCCACACACAAACTAACATCCATACATGCAGAAATTATTCCATTATGTTTTTTTTTTGGATTTCTCGACGTTTCAAGATGTTTTGAGCCCAAAAATTAAAAATCTGAGAGATTAATTTTTGTTGGATTGCCATATTTTTTTGTTATAACAGCCAGTAAAGTAAAAATAAACTGATTTATGGTGTAAGGATAGAAGACTTTTGCCATCTTACTTGCATATTACTATGCCATAATTCTCCATGACAGTAGTAACCTCGCGTTTTTTTTATGCAGCGCTCGAGAAGCGCTTTACAGCGAACACACTGAAACTGGTTTCTAATTGGCCAATACTGCTCGTGACGTCATTTCGCTACACTCTCGCTGCATAAAAAAACGCAGGGTAACTGTTACATTTCAGGAATAGTTTAAAGAGCACCTACAATATCTCTTGTCTGAATCAATCATTTATAAGTACAAAGAAGGTTGTTTAAGCAGAGAGGAACAGGAGGCTATGACAATAGATGAACCAAATGAAGAAACTTCTGTTTTAGTTAACCACTGCTCCTGTCAGGATATTATTTACGCTTCAAAATATCCAAATCCTTCTAGTGACACAAGTTCATACTACAAATATAATAATACAATTCACAATAATATTAATGTGTAAAATCTATCTGCTAAAATACTTGGGTACTTGGGACCAAAATGACAAAATGTAGAGAAAAGAATGAAGCCTCAGAATAATAGGTTCAGTATGCTGTAGCAACTATACATATGGCAATAGAAGTACTGCTAATTGAGATAAAAAGCTAAGCAGCATTTTCAAGTCTATTTTTTAGAAGAAATGAGAACATTAAATATGGTAAGGACTGGGAACCTGTAGCTTTAGAAATATATTGTAAATTATTTAATCTTAGCATCAGGAATTTGGTTTTATTTCTCCAACAACACCATGGCTTGTTTTTTACCTGATGTGTAGTATTTGAAAATGATTACTTATCAAGACTAGTGGAAATTAATTTTTCCACTATTAGAACCAAGAAATCAGCAGTGGAAATGTTAGAAGGGAGTGCCTTGAATATTTGACATGAATAGGAATATTTACTAAATGTGAAACTAAAAACTAAACAAGCATTATGGTCAAATACAGTTTTTTATGCCATTACTAAACCTTAGATGATGTAATTTTCAGCAGAAGAGTAAAAAGCAGTCTATATCACAGTTCCAGTTGATGATGCTTTCATCTAAAAATTGATTTAAAAGGTTCCAAATGATTATATCACACAGATTTTACCTTGGCTGTGCAGATTGTAAATAGTGGAGAGTAGTAATCATTGCCTTTTGAATTCTTGTTTTGTATTTTCTGTTATTAATTTTTCACACTTAAGTTAAAATGCTTCTTGAATGAACAAAGAAAGAAAGTAAATAAAAAACTTTAGTTGCTATTATTCTGTAGCAGAGACAGATCATTACCATAAATGAATCAATTAAGTTTTTTAATCAAGCTTTTATGATAAAATTTTTTTTACAAGATTTAAAACATAAGTTAGCAACTGTATGTAAAGTATTAAGCATTATTGAATATTTGTTTATTTTTTTCCAGACAAAAACAATAAGTATGCAACAGTAAATACTCATTCATTCCACTATTAATGATAATTTGAGTATTGATTTACTTACTAATGAAATTCTTAAATTTAAGTATCTACTATAGTTTCAACACATTTTATTAATGTTTAATTTTTTTCCTCATAATAAAAACAACAAAGTATCAATTATTTAGTTATAAAAAATTTACCCACTGAAATTACAGTAAGAGTTATAGTACATATACAAGATTTCAAAGCAAAATTTTAAAAATTATGAGTGAAATATGGACCTAATTTATGCTTTTCATTATATAAGATTATTATACAAGCCTTTTGCCTTTAAAGTATATAATTTTTAAATTCAGGACTCTTAAATTGTCAAAATATAGACTCCACTAGAAAAGTTACCACTAATCAAGGAAGTAATAAACAATTCAGCCATGTTTTATTTTATATAAAATTCTTCAAAGATTTCACTAGCAACTGAATTTTATTTCTTTCGATAAATATAATTAATTTTGCTATTATGTATTGTACTGAACTGATATTTTTAAGATCTGTTCAAAATTATTAACAAACAATAGAGAAAGTATTATTTTGTTGACTGAATTAGAAATCTTAGGCACATCATCACAATTTAAATGTATGTAACTTACAGGCTTATTATGATATTACAGTATAATAATTGTACTAGTTTATTATAACTGTTAGCTTTTTAAAAGAAATATTGTATCTGCTTTGTGTATTTTATTTATTTATTTTTGCTTTTAAGCTCCTAGAGATGCTTAAAAGTTTAATAAAGTTTTTTTTTTAAACCTATAAACTTACATATTTCTTTTAATTGATGATGGTAGTAAACAAAAGAAAATTTTTTCCCTAAGGGAATAGATATAATTAATTTATTTTAATATAAGAAATTAAAACAGCATTTGTGGACAGAGAAGCTCTTGTTATTAAATAAAAAAAGAATATGGCAATACAATAAAATTGCTTTAACAGGCATTAGCAACAGAAACTTGAATTCACTTATAGTATTATTATCTATTCTATCACAAATTCACTGCCATACTTTTAAAATTTTGACACATATTGATAGTAACATAGTCATTTTGATTATATATGTGTTGATACTGGTATTTTAGTATTATGTTTGCTTACCTGGTAAGTACTGATTGTTCAAAGTGAAGTGCAAAATGCACACATACACTGGGTGGCTGGTTTTCCCAATTTTAATGCAACTTCCCATTTCTTTCATAATTTTAGAAGTTTATGAATAAAAATCAGTTTTTTTTTTTTTTGATAACTTTGACTTGCACTCCAAACATGGCAATATCTATTATTAACTCACTCTCTTGCTCACCATTTGTGATCTACATTCTATACCTATTCTTTCTTCTATTCTATACTTTGCAGTGTCTTTGCTAGAGGTCATCCACTTCTATTATCCAACCTCAAAAAACTCCAGGGACATGTATATTTTAAAAAGAAACCCTCTGGTTTAATTGAGGAAATACAATTCATTCATATTCTGCAATATATATATATATACCTACCATGTGTAGTAGACTATTTCTTGTGACCATGGATATTATCAATCAAGTAATGCTATCAGAATTAACATGTAAGTCCAGACATACATAAGATATGTAAGTTGTAATAATGAAATAATAACTCAGTAAAAAACTTCAGATAAGGAGGTGTTAAAGAAATAAAAGAAACACTTTATTTCTGCAAGCACTTTCAATGTAATTATGCATGTCATCCTCAGGCAGTTTGAATAACAAAAAGATTTTGAATGTAATATTTACATTTAAACAGTAATGACATTAGCATTTTGGAACTTAACTTTTAAGAATAAGTAAAATTTAAATTAAAAGTTTTTGCAAACACATAAAACTGATGCGCATGTGCCTTAACATACACAATTGTAAAAGCCAATTGGAAGATCACTTTAAGTGCGTGTTACATTAAAATATAAATATAAACAAACATGTAACATAATTTAAAAACACATGTAATACACTTGTAACATATATTAAGATAGACGTAAAAGACCGATGTGTATGCATCTTAATTCACATTGGAGGTGCAGGAAATAAATGCAGAATTGTTGATATTTACGTACATTATGCATATTAATTACAATACATTAACTCAGCCATAGCTCCCTTAATTAGATGGGCATTCTTACTTCCTTTGACACAACATCTTATCAACACCGAGCTAGAGGCCATCTGCATAGCGGTACACAAGCCAGGATATGGTCCCTCCAAATATAACCATGTCAAAACCAGAGTTAAACAGTCCCTCATCTCTTCCCTGCTACCACCTTGTGCAGACCAAGGGATTGGACAACACTCCGTTCCTCCTTCTCCCTCCGTGCAACTCCCCTACCTTAGAATTACCTGATATTTGGACTAATTTATACAAATGGTTAAAAAATCAGCAATAATTCTGTGTTCATTTCCTGCACCTCCAATGTGAATTAAGATGTTACAAGTGTATTACATGTGTTTTCAAATTATGTTACATGTTTGTTTATGTTTATATTTTAATGTAACACGCACTTAAGGTGATCTTCCAATTGGCTTTTACGATTATGTATGTTAAGGCGCATGCATGTCAGTTTTACGTGTTTGCAAAAACTTTTAATTTAAATTTTACTTATTCTTAAAAGTGAAGTTCCAAAACGGCTAATGTCGTTACTGTTTAAATGTAAATATTCTATTTGAAATCTTTTTGTTATTCAAACTGCCTGAGGATGACATGTGTAATTACATCAAAAGCGCTTGCAGAAATAAAGTGTTTCTTTAAGTTTCTTTAATGCCTCCTTATCTGAAGTTTTTAATTGAGTTAATACATCTGTTGGCATGACATCCAATCTAAGTATTTAGTATGCCTAACATGTAATAATAATAATTATTATTATTATAACAACCTTAGCATTAGTAGTAATAATAAATAATGTTTACTTTTAATGTCAGAGTCAATAAAACAGAATTTTTCATTTATTGTAAACATACTTACTTACTTCACTTAAGATGGTTTATAATTTAAGATGTTAAAATGGTTAAACACTCAAAATTTATCACAAGATAAAATGTTTTTTGATACTTTATCTCAGCATCAGATTTTATATACAGTTTTAGTGAACATAAATAAGACCATGCCAACATTAAATGGCCATTTGGATCTATTCAACCATACTCAAAACATTTGAAAACAGGAAAAAATTGTTGTAATAGGTGTACTCTATTTAATATAATCATCATCAGTATAAATCAGTGTCCCAAAGTGATTACAGTAAGCAGATTCTGTTGTATATATATCAATATACAGTAGTACCCCGAACTTACGTGATAGGTGGGACCGAGCGATAACCGCGTAAGTCGAATTTGTGTAAGTCGTGGTATAATTTCGCAATTTGTGTAAAATCCAAGTTGGATGTATGTAAGCTAATAAATGTTTTCGTTAATCTTATTTTGTCTTTTGATTCGTTCACGGTTACAAGAAATCACCACATAGAGTCTCTGAAGTCTCCGTAGATATAACAAACACAGAAATAAATAACACAAAATAAATTGTAGCTATGCATCGATTCCGCGCGACACGTCCAAACATGTAAGCCGAACAATAGTGTGGAGAAGTGAGTAATCAAGAGTTGCGTGGCACTCAAACAAAAGACGAATCAACGAGATTTGAAAATCGCATAACTCCGGGTTCGCGTAAGTCGAGGTATTACTGTATGTGCTTTTTACAGAAATATTATGAAGTGTAGAGTTTAAAATAAACTGAACTTGTGACATAGGATTTATTACACAATATATGCACTCTTATGTTACATTACCTTCAAAGTAAACTCATCCTTCAGCTACACACTTTTAATAGTGTCCATAATATTTATCAAAGTAGCCTTGAAAGCCATTTTTTATGATATACTGTAAGGTCTCATTTTATGCAGTGGATACGTTCTACAGAAAAGCGCATATAAAAAATTCGCATAAAAAAAGACTTTACTTGCCTTAAAAAAGTAGGGATACGTTCTGTAATTTTCAAAAATCGCATAAAACCAAAACAACGAGTTAAAATTAACTTAAAACCGCATAAAAAAGTGTGCAGAAATTAAAAGAAATAGGCTGCTTAATAAAATACTTCGAATGTCTGAAAGAAATTCATATAAAAGCTTAAAATAAACTTGTATTCAAACTTAATTCAGTTTATTTTATTGAAAAGTAATACAAGGGGAATCCCCGAATTGCAAAAGCTCACTCTAAAAACAAATCACAAACATCTGGATGTGAAGAGTTAATTAAAACCCCTTTAGTTCCTTGCCCCAGTTAACTCGGGCAGGTTACATAGCGTTGCATAAAACATGGTCCTTAAGGCCATTTTTGAAATTTTTTTTTTTGAATTTTTGGAATGTTTTTTGTCTCCAAATTTTTAAAAAATATTTAAAAATATACAGCCAGCTAGTGTTCACCCTACTTTAAACCCTTGTCCTCCTGCGACGTCTATGAGAATGCCCCGGGAAATCCAACTCCAGCTGTGTTCAAGGTCATCCAGATGTGTAAACAATGACTCATCAGTGTTAAATTTCACAGAAGGGCGAAACAAAAGAAGTTAATTAAACTTTGAAGCTTTTTCTTCAAAATTAACGCATTTCTTTCGTTTTTTCAGTTTTAAGTATTTTTTATGTTTAATTACATTTATATCAAAAATTGCTAGGAACTTTTTTACATCCATAAACATTATATGTCAGTGGAACAAATGGAGTAAGCTTTGAGCATTCCACGATTTTTGGAGACTGTCTATATGCGGGCTTCCTAAACAAGCCTATATGTATGCTTGTCCAAGAAATTTTTGGATGAAATACAAACCGCACAACTTCAAAATCGCATAAAAATAATCCGCATAAAAAGAGACCTTACAGTACTAAACTGTGAGCACTGTGTAAGTATAGCTAATATGATTGTTTTTAAGCTTTTGTTACTAATGCTTTACCTTTGCTACTGATTGGGACTTGTGATCTTTCAACTTCTGTTTCATTTTATGGAACAAATAAAAATCTGTAGGATCAAGATCATAGGAGTAAGGAGATCAAAAAAGCACTATTATACCTTTCTTGATCAGATGTTTGTTAAAAATTCTCAAAAATGTTGCCAGATTGTCAAGAGTTTGCCTGCGATCCTGTCTGTTCTCTTTCCTTACTTTTCTGATCATTTTATTCTTGCAATAACAAGTCTCCGAAGATGAGGGTAATCTTTAACTGATTTCTAACTGTCAAACTACTTATGTTATTCATAAACTTGTGTTCAAAATGTGGTTATATCAACATACACTTTATTGAATATGTTGAAAATCTTTGTGAAGATTTTATAAAGTTGCATACAAAATTCAATGTTTCCTCACTGCACTAAGTGTGTAATTTCTTTTCTGCCAATTTTCTCTGACATGGATAAATAAATTAGTCCTACTGTGCTGCTCATGATGGAAACAGGAAATGTAAGTGATAATTGCAAACAAGAAACACACTCACTCACAAGTCACATGTATTAAAAAACCATAAGTTCAGTTCATTTTTTGATTCTACCTAATGTATAAGTGACTGAAAACTTGTATATGTATATATAATTTTTATTTGATTTGTGTTAGAAAAAAATTTGAATCATATAACTTGGAAAACTTCACTGAAGATTCTACATTTCTTTTATTAAAAATTATATTGATATTTAATATTAAGATTGATTTTTACTATTTAAAAATAAAGTTTATAAATTTTTTAATTTAACTAAAATACAGTAGAGCATCGATTATCCGACTCAATTGGGGACTGGTGTTGGTCGGATATGAAAAATATGAAAAAATATATTATTAGTATAGTATATTAGTATATCTCATGTAATTAGTATATTAGTATATCGCTATTAACCTACTTTGCGTTGAATTTTCATCAATGTGAAGCCTAACAAAAATTTTTTTAAAATAATAATCATCGCTATTATATCGTTAAAAATTAGAAAATTAAGCCTCGTTTAAATACTGGCTCCCTTTCGTGGTCGAGCCATGTTGCCAGCTAAACCCCTAAAAAATACTATTAAAGTAGCCAAGACATAACCAAATATTGTAGCTCCACATCACTAGCAGACATTTGAATTTGCCGACTAGAACGGTCATTTAACCGATGTGATGGTTAATCGGGGGTCAGATAATCGATGCTCTACTGTAGTAACATGTAAATATTTACAAATAAATATATACAATGCAACTTTTTGTTGATTTTTATAATTTGCTATAACATCTGTTAAAGTTTTAGATTAATTTTTGTTTAACATTTTACAGTAAGTACTTTCACTCATGGAGAGCATATGATAGATGTACTTAATATTCTAGGAGTACATTGTTCTGTCTATGGAAATCATGAATTTGGTAATTTAATCATATTTAAATTTATTAATCAGAAATTAAGTTTAAAAAATTCATATAAATATACACATTAATCAAAAACCCAATATCTTAAGCAAATACATCTACAACTGCTGTAAATGATTGGGCTATATTTTGGATATATAATTATAGATTAGAAATGAATTTGGCACTAGAGTGAGGCATTAAGCACCATCTTTTATTAAAATTAATAATTATAATATTTTATTAATTTAGATTAAACTGGAAGAAAAGAATCGGTCTGAAGTGGGACTCAAACCCACAACTCCTGTTTACCGTGCAAATTCATTTCTAATCTATAATTATATATCCAAAATACAGCCCAATCATTTACAGCAGTTGTAGGTGTAAAAAACTTTATAATGAAATTTTCATTATTTTAATATTTTGTTTTTAATAGAGATGTTTATATATCTAGAATTTAATTATTGATTTTAAAAAAATTCTTATATTAAAAATTTAATATTTTTTATCTCTCTATTTTCATAAATTTTTGTAGATTTAATTGCATTTTTCTTTTGGAAAAGTTTAATTTAGAATATATAATTTTTTTGATAGATTAGATGAATATTATTTTGAAGAAATATCAAATAATAATCATTTATTTTATTGAAAATAATATATCAACATTTCAAATTAATGTTCATCATTTTAATAATAATTATTTTGGGTTTCAAATTCATTAAGAATTTTAAATGTATAACCTATATTTTTATTATTTTATTTGAAATATTGAATCAAATAATGTTCCAACGTATGAAAGCACTGGATTATGTGGAACACACTATATTTTTTGTTTTATAAAAAAAAATTTTATAACAGGTTGGCTGGAATTTTTACTTGTTTTACACCTATTACTTATGTTTCAATTTTAATTTCAAGAAATTGGGAATTTATTTGTAGTTCAATTAGTAATAAATATAAATGAATTCCAGTTTAACAAAAAAAAAAGGTGAAAGAACAATTAAAGTGAAATCAGAAATATATCTGAGCATATTGAAAATTTCAGATAAAAAATGATTATATTAAAAGATTAATTTAAGATAAAGTAAAATTAAAATAAGTAATTATTATTTGTGTAATGAAAAATTTATTTGGTTTCAAATAAATAAAGTATTTTATTTTTTATTTTTAGACTTTGGTGTGGATCGTTTATTAGAATTTGCAGAGAGAACAAAATTTCCGTGGTTAATGAGCAATGTTATAGATAAAGAAACTAATGAACCGTTAGGCAGTGGCAATATTACATATGTTTTAGAACATCATGGGAAAAAAGTATGCTATTGGTTTAAACTTAATACAGTGGTATCTCAGGATATGAACGCCCCAGCATATGAAATTTTCAGGATATGACACGAAATTCAAACATATTTTTGCTCCACGATACGAACAAAAACTTACCATACGAAGTTACATTAGTTCGCAGCGCCATTTTTTATTCACTTCTGTTCATTGGTCTCAGTCCGTGTGTTTGCTTCGTCGTGGAAGGATCTCGCTCGATAAAGGAAATCTTGAGGTATTATCAGAAAGTGACTGATTTTATTGAAAAGAAACATCCCAAAAAGGTTCACACTGGCCATATTGCCACTTGGAGTAATGACATTTGCCTAAGTCATTTTAGAAACATTTTAAAAAGTAGGCAAAGCCAAACTTCTTTGGATAGACATTTTATCAAGTGACCTCTATCCAGCGAAAGTGCTGGTGGAAGTGAAGGAAAGAAAGCAAAAAGCAGTGAATAAAAAATTTAAAAATATATATATAAAACAGAAAAGATAAAAAAATTAGTGTTAAGTTATTTTTAAGTTATTGTTACATTATGTTATGTAAGTTAAGTTTTAGTATCATTTCCCTTCTCCCTCTCTTCCGCCACCAGTTTACACCT